TGCATATTGGGTTTTTTGAAATCGTGATAAGCCATTGTTTTAATCAATATACTCAGAATTTTAGCTGATCACCATCAGACAGCAAGTACGCGGAGGGGAAGGCGAGCAATCGTTAGGGACACACACACACACACAGCAGCAGCAGCAGAAAAATCCACTGAAATGTTGAGAAAAAGTTGGATGTCCGTTTAAAAGAATGAAATAAAGTTTGATGTCACACCTTCCTCCACCCGTCCCCAGTCAGCCCACCTTAAATCAACTTTTAATAACCGGACCAAATGACGAAAACGCACCGCCAGCCGCACAGTTCCAATCAGAGATGACAGCATGCAGATAGGACCGATAACTCACCTTCTTGCAAAGAATACAGCAGAAGTAAAGTTACAAGCCACATGCCATTAAAAGCTGTTATATTTCACAGGAATTTTGTGCAGTCCTCGAGAAGAGTGCACGGCGCAGCGGTTGGCCAGGCGAGGCTCCGTGCTGGACAGGTTCTGCTGATGCTCCCCGGCGGTCTCTCCAGCCCTGGTCCCACACTCTCCGACGCCGAGAATCGAGCCGCGGAGAAAGTACCGCCTCTGCCCCGCGCTCTCTCCTCCCCTTACCGGGCCAAGCTGCTGTCGCCCCACCCCCATAAACGAATGATGGAGAGGTGAGCCAAACGTGGGAACAGACGCAACGGCCGAGACCTGTGTTTTACGCACGGTGGATACATGGCTTTATTCGACAGTGTGAATGGACATTTAGGTGACAACTGAAAGGCATCTGCGATAACAAGCGATGATAGTCTGAATTTAAGGCAGGCAAGTTTGGAAAACGCCAGTTGGAGGGACGTGTCTGCACACAATGTCTATGCAAATGAAACGGCGGATTTTCATAAATCAGTTGCCTGTTTGGTAAAGGAGGTTGGGAGCAGCCCAGGTGAATGAAAAGTTGTTCTTGTCTCTATAATAAGTCCATGTAAAGATGGAAATCTAACTACCGGTATTTAAGAGAGTGAATTCAGGTGAGTGGGACGATGGGATGGGAGAAGAAGTGAGGAGAGAGTTGAAGATGCAGCCTCTGATTCCCCCCAGAGACCATCAACACTCACTCTCATGTGGATATTTTTGGGAAAATAGAGATCAAAACACAGATAGGATGTGTGCGACTTTCCTCCCTCTCTGACACTCACACAACACACACACGCACAGCGAAGAGTGAGAGACATAGAGAAGGTGGAGAGAGAACCAAAAACTGTTTGTTCAGCTGTCTAACCTCTTGAGTTATACAAAAATAGTAAATCGAGGAGGAAAAAAAAGCCATAACGACAATCTCAGACTGCCTGAAGCGAGAGATGTGCAGAGTGAGGCAGCAGAAGAACAACCTGCAGGTTCTGCAGTCATGATTTGCATGTATTTGCACTGCAGATCAACACCAGCAATACACGAGTATTTAGGTGAAGACCTTGTTGTTTAAGGTGTGTGTGTTCTGAAACATAGTCATAGTCATTGAACCTAAAGGTTTATTTTAACAAACTGTGAGTCTCCAAGTATTCATTCCTTCATCTTCTACTTCTCCAGCCAATCCCAGCAGTCACCAGGCAAAGGTGGGCTACAACTTGGCTACTTCGCTGGTACACTGCAGGGTCACAAATAAACTTAGAGAAGAAAACCAAAGTATCTATATAGAGAAGACATTTACACACTGAGAGAACCTGCAAAAACTCTATAGGAAGTCTGACAGTTACCACCAGGGATTGGATCTGGAATCTTCCTCCTGTAAGGCAAGAGAACCAACCACTCTGTCTCTATGTGGCAGTGTCTCTAATATTGTCAGTATTTGAAAAACAAGCAAATCTATTCCATGGTCATTTAACCTGGACCTCTGTTTCTGAAGGTGCACAAAATATCATTCCATGTGTACTGCAACATGAAATGCCCGGTCGGCACTTATTTATCACTTAACAATGTCTGAGGTTATCAGTTTAACACCTGATAAAGTGTCAAACTCATTGGCTAGCTCTGTTGAAGTTGGCTTCATTTTGGTTGGTTTGGATGGTATTATGTCAATATGCGGTGTGTGGCAAACAAAAGTGAATTAACTGAGACAGGTTCAAGGATATTCATGATGTCACTAATGTTATGATGATATGCTGAGCATGCCCCAACTCAAGGGTCGGGCTATTTTCAAAACGAAACCAACTTCGACATCACCTGTCAGGAGGTAACTCTCCTGACAGGTGATGGAAACAGATAGATGACCTGTCTCCGCTGCTTTGAAAGATGCTAGTGTAAAAGCAGTGAACTCTGATGGGCAGACTGTGACTGTTCAGTATTGTAAGAAAAGTTGGTTTGCAGTTCTGCTGAGATGAACATTGCAGTTTGATAATCTGAAAAAAATACAAGTTGCAGAAAAATAATCTCTCTCTGAATCTATACTTTTCCTCTTGTCCCACTGACAAACTGGGCAAACAAGCTGCAGCCAACTCCTTAACACTGAGCTCCTCACACACAAAGGCTCCACCCAGCACTGCTGCATGGCAACACACGAAGTCTGTCAGGACTTCTAAAGGTGGTGTGGCAGGCTGGTTAAGAAGTTGATGTGAGTTGGGCTGACAGCACCAAGCAGGTTGTGCTCTATGTCAGCCAGTGATCATCATGGAGGTTGACAGGCTGAGCTGGGCCAGCCAGGCCACAGTACAGGGAAGCAGCTCTCAGACAGTTATTGTCACTGTCACACAGGACAGGATTCAGGACAGACTGCCACCAAACCACTAGAAACCACAGGAGCATGTGACTCATCTCCATCACCCTGCTCCATCGTTGCCTGGAGATAGGGAAGGGAAGGAGAGAGGAAGCAATCTCTGACAGAAAGTGAGAGGAAGAGATTTTGTTTGCCGAGGAATAGAGAGGAAACAGAGAACACAGAGGGAGGGTGGAGGAGGCAGGCAGCTGATGTGATGAGGCAGATAAGTTAATGTGGATGTTAATGTTAATGTTCACACAATCAGAGCCCCCCTCGGGCATTAGCTGCTCGCTAGGATTGTATTAACAATAATGTATCCACTATTAATGCACAGCCCTGGGCCTGGTGGAACCTAGTCAAGGTCAGAATTAGGAGAGAGTGAGGGCGAACTGTGCTGCTGCTCAGCTTTGTGCAAGGTCAGAGGGATCGAAATGAGAGGGAGGCGAGAACTGCAGTAATATGGACGATAATAATGGATTTTAGTCGGAGGAGCCACAGGGTAGATCTTTCAACAACCGGTCAAATGCAGTAGTTATTATTCCTGAGAAGCAAACCGTGGCAGGGAAAAAAAAAAACTTCGAAAGACAGAAAGTGTGCCTTCAGCACGAAGAGCGTGATCCGAAGCGCGGTGAACGCAAAGAGGACCGCAGGAGCCCCGTGCTACAGTGGAGCTATCAAGCTAGCCCTGCACGCCACTGTCTGCGTATAAACAGGACTCTGCACTAAGCTAACACCGAACCACACAGCACCATGCTGCAGTACATTAACAGGAAGGCTCCAACAGAAAGGAGTGTGTTTGTCTTTAACCAAGCACGCCTGATTGTTCAGCGAGTGTGTATCAGCACATCACAGCAGCTCGCTGGACATCACACCTCGTGCAGCTTTTCTACGTAAAGTGTACAGACCAGTGTGTGCATACGTGTGTGTGTGTGTGTGTGTTCCTGCACCAGTGCATGCATGTGCACAGTAGACATCAAGGGGTGTTAATTTATTCAAATGAGCTGGGGAGGATATCAAGAGGATGGGGTGATGGGCGGAGGTGGTGCGTGTGTGTCGGTGTATTGAGGGGGGGGGGCATGTTCTGGAGATTCATTTCAGAACCCGCCCTTAACTTGTTTTTCTAGGTTTGCAAATTAGATGATTTGCATGGCTGATAACGAGGAAGGAAAGAAGGGATGAAGGGGGAAAGAAGGTGAAATTGAAAGTGGGAACTACAACAGAAGTGGAGATTGAAAATGAGGCAAAACCGCGGCAGACAAAAAAAAAAAACAAAAAACACACTGTGCCAGGGCGAAGCCTCTACTTCCAAGATGGCTGCGACAGGAGTTGTCCTCTGTGTGGGACCAACGTAGAGACCTGCTGCTCTGGCTCTCCGGTGGGTTTCACACCGTCATACTTTGTTACCGCAGCTAAGATCCGTGACTGGGAGAATAAAATCTGCACGTAATGATAAAGGATCAACGTTTATCGTTTGTAATTGAATATTAAACAGTCAAATGAATATGGCTGTGTCTCTTGCACAGATATTGATCAGAGATATCTAGTGACACCCAGTGGTTACAATTAAATCTTATCATTAAAAGATCACATGATGCCACCTTTCCTCTGGTGGCCTTTTGCCTCAGAGTTCAGGTGTTTAATAAATTCATAGCATCAAAATTTAAGCCCAAAGTGTCCCATGGTGAGACAAATACTTCCACACTGTGTCGTTCCCCTCTCTTCTTACTGTGCTTGTCTTAGGCAACAGGGTTCTTCTGATGCTAAAGGAGAAACACTAGAGGCCTCTAAAAGCTACAGATTTGTTATCGCTCCTCTGTTAAGTATTTTTATTGATTTGAGGATTAGAGTGAGGAAGGATGATGTATATAAGTGAAAGGTGTACGTTACAGGATGTACATTCTTCTGTGCTTGTACTACTCACTATTATCTTTCCATGTGACTGTGCATATCTGCAGCAAGACAATGGCATTGGGGGGAAAGTTATTTTATTAATTGTCAATTTAGAATTATGGCAGTAGTTCTTTCATTAAAGTTCATTTAATCATCATCCACTGCTGAATCTATCTATCTATCTATCTATCTATCTATCTATCTATCTATCTATCTATCCATCTATCGAGTTTGAGTCTACCCATCAGTCAGGCAAGGAACAATTGTTATTTGATAAGGGATCAAACCAGTGAACTGCTGACCTTCTTGCTGTAAGGGCAATATCA